CATAAAGCTACTTGTAAGTCTTACATGTAAAATCAGCTGCCTGAAACTGAAGTTACTCCAAATTCGCTTCCGGTAGCAACAGATCATGTACAGTGAGCAAACGATAGTCCCAGCTACACGTACATTAACAGTGCAGAATGTATGGATTGTCAGTAGTATACGGTGTAAGATACAACTCATTTACTTCAGGAGAATTGTTCTTTGGGAGGAATTTGTGAAGCAATTGGACTTACCCAAATTTCTGAGTGTACAACTCCAAAGTTTCTCCAAATTCGCTTCCGGTACGAACAGAACATGTACAGTGAGCAAACAATAGTCCCAGCTATGCGTACAGTGCAGAATATCATAATGGTGTACCAGAAAGTTGACATAGAATGTACCAGACTGAGTGTGTGTATGTATATGACAGGGCAGTCTAGGCAGAATCTATAGGATTATTCAAAGTACATTCAAAGTACATTTGTATTGAATATGGGGCCAAGGTAAAGCAGGGGTGCAGGTTATTGTAGATAGAACTGCTTTATAGTAGGTGGCCGAGAGCCTCTTTTCTCAACTTCCAGCTCAAGTGTACAAAAACTCTGCATATTGAAAAAATGACCAGCAAGCAGTCCAGTAATGTTTAGTATCTATGTACATGTATCAAGTACTGCCACAGTAGCCAGCATCTGGGAAATCAGGAAGTTTCAGTATCAAATAGAGTTAAGGGCATCCAAAGTGATTTCAGGGTGGTAAAACTGGAAGGATTTTCTAGACCATTATTTTTTAATGTATTACTAAGTTGAATCAACCCATACTATAGTAATACTGAATATCTGTGAGGCAAAAAAATGTGATGTTGCTGACAAAAAAACAGTTTTGTATCGTAGGCTGGTTCCAGCTATATATATTTATTGGTGGTACCAAAAAATAAAGGTAGCTTGTTCTGTGGCTATTTCAAATGCTTCAAATTTTGACCAAAAGTCTGCTATCAAAATGTCTGTACCAGATTTCCTCATCTAGAATATTTTTCCAGAATGTTCTGCCACCCGGAAATTACACTGGATGCCTTTACAAACAGCCTGTGCATTGTACATTGATAACTTCCCAGGAGACTCTACTGTAAGAGATGTATGACATTGTGTGCAGTAGGTCTGCAAATACATGTATACTGCAGCTGTAATTGTAGCATGTTTGAAGATTGGTGTGACCGCTACAGGGCAATGGTGAGATATAAATTGCTACTATTTAGGTGAGCTACTATATATTAGTTAGTCATAGATTTTAAAGGAAAAATACATACATGTACAAATGTATGTATGGTCAGGGAATTTGTCGGGAAGTAAGAAATGGTTGTATAGCAATGATATGATACTGTTAAGAGAGCACGTAGGCTAGAATACTGTACTCTACATTATTGTATGCTGATGATTGTATGCAATACATGTGTTAATGTAGGGGTGTGCTTCCATTGTTTTTCTCTTCAAAACGTAGAAAAAAGTGAACAATACAGCTACATATACAGCTCAACTTACTTTACCCAAATCCTGTTTTATCAAATATTCAACCCTTTCAACCAGCAAAAGTTCAAAATACCGCACTCTTGGTATGCAAGTCTTGGTTTGTCTGTGAGTATATTTTAGAGATGCTAAATTGCCCAGTGCAAAAGTCACAGTCTCTTCTGAACTGTGTCCTGTTTCGGCCAGCACAACAGATGGACTGGCTTATGTCTTACACAATGTACCTTCTAAACTAAGGCCACACCAATTTAATTTGTTGGTTCTCGGATTCGCCTCTTCATTTTTTTTTTATTCGCAAAAAAGAAAAAATGATTCTGGTCCTGAATCAACTAAAAAATGCTCATATTTTCCCCTAAACAGTTGAGGAAAGTCCTTTTCTTCCTAGTTGTTAGTCTTTCCATCTATCAATGCAGTGGTGTGATTAGAAGTTCAAAATTCATTCTTTAAATAATAACCCAGCCTTTTGCGTTGACTTCATGGCTCCTTTCGTAGCATTTAGGGCTATAATAGGATGCTTGGACCTGTTTTTATTTTATTTTTTTGCCCTGTCCCTTTACATGTATATTTTCTCTAAAACCAACAAATTGAATTGGTGTGGCCTAAACAGCCAGTGTTGACAACAGCCTGAAATATCTTTAGGCAACCTATCTTCTGGCTTAGGCTGCCTAGTGGGCAAGCTGAGAAAAAAAATTACAGTATTTAGAACCATGCCAGCTTGGAAAATTTCCAGTGTCAAGATTGAATGTGTAATATCTAGTTGTATGCCTATGTGTATGATCTGAGTTTGTTTTCATACTAGTGAAAAAAATGTGTAATATTATTCCTTCACTTCATTATTTCCAAACTTGTGATCTATTATTATTTATTTTCCAATTTCTGGACATATATACATTGTAATATTCTTCTTAGTTAGATTTTTCTATGACTGTTTATTTTGAACACTATACTTTGTTTCATATATTTGGGACATGAAAGACTTGGTTGCAGTTTGTACTACAAACAACACTGTAACATGTCTGTGTGTATGAATTAGTGTCTGGCGTCATTCTTTATGTTAAAGGTGGGTTAGGCCACAGCAATTAAATTTTATGGATGACATCCTCCACAGACTCCAAATCTAATGCGAGCGGGTAAAAAAAAAGACGGGTCGAAAAAACAAGGTTCCTACATTTTAAAATTTTGACTCGATCATTTTACAAATGGTTTTTTATTCAGTGGGAACATCACATATACACAGCCAACATCACGTGTCACTTTGAAGAAGTGACGTGGTTCACAGACATCTTTGCCCATTTTCGGCATGGTGACCACTGTCAGAAGCCAACAATTTTTTTTTTTCAAAATCAGGCAAAAATTAATGCGCACGCTGATGTCATCCATGAAAATTGCTGTGGCCTTATTCAGACGTTAAAACCAAAGTCATTAGTTTTGTCATGTTCTTTTATATCCTATTTGAATCTGTCACATTACACCACACAGCAGTATTCTACTCAGTTTTGCCGTCTTGATATATTCAGCATTCTGGGGCTGGGCAGTTTTTGGTCTACAAAACTAAGGGCTTGCTTTCACATTAATTAAGTGCTAGATACAAATACAGGCTTAGAGTGCAGAATGAACCAGTCATAATAACCCTGACAACAAACGGTCATCAAAATGTTAAACAGACAAGTAGTGGTTGTGAACAAAGAACTTTGCTATACAATTATTCACCAACCAGTCCTGATGAAATTATTCGCAGATCCATTGACAATTTAACATCAATTTAAATGGAGAATTCAACACTATGATAAACATATTTTATCACCCACGCTACTCAGACTGTAAAAAAAAAAGATGACCAACTTCCCCTGACAAGAGACAGTCATTTATTGTAGGGAAACAGTATAGAAGGGACGCATGATCAGACCAGCTGTATTTTTTTTTTTTGTTCACTGAACAATTCTCTACAAGGAGTTTGTTTCTTCATGGTGGGTGGAGGATGTTACAATCTACAGGAAGCTATGTTTTTTGTTAAAAATTAGATCATTTTAAGATTTTAGTTCTTCTACACACACTACTTGTTTTTGCTATACGATCTTTCATAAATCGTGGCACATTACCTTGTTGGTGGTTAGTATGAAAACATTGTGGTACAAATACGTGTATACCATTAACAACTGTTATCTACTCATATGCGTGATTGGATTACAGGGAAATGTATCTACAATGCGTTCCCAAACGTGCAATCTGAACCAGTCAGAATTGCCCTGAGGAAGGTGACGGACGGTCACCGAAACGTCGGCTGAAAAAAAGACTTGGTTGTTGTGTAAGAAAAAACAGCCTCTTTACTCAGTGTCTTACCAACCTGATGAAACTATTCACGGAATAATACTGTAATATAAGCAGATTTTTAAAACATTGTGAAACTGAAAGGCTTTTTGTCTAGATAGATACATGTATGTGGCCCATGCACTTTTGATGTAATGAGATATGTTGCCTTTTGCAAAAACATGACCACGTCAATGTCCCACCCGTAAAAATGTAGATAGAACCTTCCACAGCTCTACATGTAAGTGTTGTAGTACTATTCCTTATATTCCCATTCAGTTTGCTAATAACTTTGAGTAATAAATACATGATATGCACATTTTACAATTCAATCACTTTGTATACATGAATGTGTAGCTGTAACAGTAAGTATTGACTGATGGAGGCAAGTCATGATAAGTAATGTTAGACAACGAAGAAAATCCCACCCCTATTTTGAATAGCACACCCCTGCTTTAGTATTAATGTCTTCTGGCGTTGGACTAGTCTATTATGTAGTTAGGGGTGTAATGTTGCTCTTGCCCTCTCCACATGTCTGTGGCCCAGGAGTGCCCACAGAAGGTACTCGCTTGTTCCTTGCATAGTTGTCACCAATCACATGCTGTGAAACATCCTTGCATGGCTGTCAATGACAGGTTGTGACCAATCAGAGGCTTTGTAACATCCTTGCATGGTTGTCAATGACCTCAAATTGTGACCAATCAAATGATTTGAAATATTTGAATGATGTTTGGAATTTGCATCAGTTTTCCTTCATTTTCCTCAAAAAAAATTGGGCTATTCTGTGAATTATACAAAGAAGTCCCAAGATGATAAATATATGCCATAAATTGCAAGAAAATATTGGAAAACAATCCTAGAATTCCTTCTTTCTTCACTGTAATAATTCTTTGCCATTTAATAATAATATATATTTAGCAGTGAAACTGCTGCTCTGAAAATTTTGAGTCCTTCAAACAAAGTCAAGGAAAATATGCACTTCGAACAAAATTATAATTATCAAAAAATATATACACACAATTGTTCTGCATCTTTGGTCATGATTTTTTCCACACATTCGCATCATTTTGTAGGTGCCCAAAGGATGTCATTTAATACATGTGCATCAGCATGGTCTAAGGATAATGGTTCTATAACATTATTTTTCACTTTTTGTATGTAGTTGTGTAAGATTGAATTCTGCTCTTCCCCAGGACAACAAGCTGCTAGTCGCACAGCTAGAGAAAGGGGGCGCTTCTGCACAGGTGCAGCAGAGGCAGAAATCAGACGAACTGGAGAAACAGATGAAGGAAGCAGAAAGTATGCCTTCAGTCTTCATTTCAACAACTTTAAGTTTTTTTCTTACTTACATTTTAGTTTTATTCGACAATGTAAGAATAAAATGTGGATTTTCATTCTCTGTATTGACTGTCACAACTTATGTGAGGTGTAAAAAACTAATGGCAATGATTAACGTTTCGGAACTGTTTTAGTATGATCCATACTTCTTAAGTTCTGACTGGTGCAGGTATGCAAAAAAAGGAACGATTTCAAGTCCTAACACACCATACACAAGTAATTTTCCAACTATGATATGTACATTGTCAAATGTTCTTGATTTTCATGGCATTTTACTTCATTTATTTCTACTTTAAAGGATAAACTTTGTTCTTCCTTCCAGAACGTGCCAACAAAAGTGAAGAGAAGTTTACCAAAATGAAGGATGTGTACACCAAACTGAGGGAAGAACACATTGTCCTTCTTAGAAAGGTAAGAGTAATTCAACAAGCCTCTTTTGTGATCATTTTACTTCTCTGAGAATCCCTGTACATGTAGTTTCAAGTGTTATTGTACTGTGACTGTACTTTATGATTTGTTTAAAATGGGATTCCACCCCAGGCACGTTAAAGAACCCACCACACCTTTCGAAAAAGAGTAGGGGCATGCCCCGGTGTGCGATGGTACAAACACTACTGTATGGAGTTGGTGATTCACTTCAAATCACCCGAATGGAGGCCTGGCGAACCTCTGTTCCGTATCAGCCACATGGTGATTACATCACCACACATGGTGATTACATCATCACCCGGATGGAGGCGTGGCGAACCTCTGTCTTGTATTAAGCTAACGAAAGGGTATGCCACCTCGTAAGGGGCGGTATAACTCCGACCAATACGGTCGACTGATGATGATGATGAAAATGGATTCAAAGCATTCAGAAAGCCAGGTCAAAGCTTTAAAGGAACTGTGGAATTCGAATATGGCCTTCCAAACACTGTCAAACTCCCCCCAACCATACTCCCATAGCTTAAAAGATTACGTTGGGAATAAGGTCAGTTGTGGTTGTCTGGTGAGGTCAGCTTGAACTGTTTAGCTGTGCCAACCAAACGTTTCAAAATGTTAAAAATATTCGGAAGTGGGACGGGAGATTTGACTGGATCTCGAGAGTAGACCAGCAGTGTTCTAAAATTTGATTTGTATTGAAAGATAGGCAGGGCCTAAATCTGGTCAGCTTGCTTCTAAACTTTAGCCAATCTTGGTTGATTGGTTAACGTTGGTCAGGGGAATGTTCCGAATGTGTGACAAGGGCCTAACAAGAAAGTTCATCTGTGTTGGTAGTTGTGTCATGTTTTACTGTGACACGTCGATGAAGGTTAGACATCCAGGTAATACGATACGCCAAAAAACAGTTACTCAAGCAACTGGATATGATTTTGAAAACGTCAGACGTTTCAGCTAGTATCCACTAGCTTTCGTCAGTGACTGAGAGACCAGAGGGGAAAGCAGGTTTATAAGCACAACCTATTGATTGATATGCAAATAAATTGAAGACAAATTTTTGGAAGTCGAAAAAGTGTGACAGTCTTTTGAAGAATATCAGAGTTACTTAGGTTGAAAGCTCTAGGTGAGAACAATCCCTAGTGTTGGAACCAAAGTTTTAACTTTAAACATGGTCTTGACTTACTGTTCTTCTGTGTCCTGTTTTAGAGTGCAGAAGTGGAGAGGCAGCTCACCAACACCTACAAGTCAAAGGACGAGACAGAAGCAGCCAAGAAAACAGCCGAGGACTTCGCACACAGGTTACAGGCTTCTATGGATGAAAAGGTATCATATTTAAACCCTTTACTAGGCTTTACAGTAGGTGGACAGTGATTGTGGTATCAGACTGGGCTCAAAATTCATTGACCCTTGTCCTGCGGAGCACAACAATTGTTGTTTTGCACATACAGTACCATCTATATAGCACTTTGTATATTAGGTATGATTTGGGGGTATTTCTCGTGCAACACATTACACAACAGTGAATCACAATGAATGCAGAAGTAACTATGCCACCGCAGGGCAAAAAAAGTTGCGGGTCTATGACCTAATTAAGACATGAAATTATTGAAAAATATTGTGTAAAAAAAGCCAGCAGGACAAGGGTTTAACTGTTACAGTGTTTCAATGTACAAGACATATAGCGGCCACAAGTAATAATGAAGTATCTGGCTCTGGACAACTTGATGCACCTTGGGTATATTTTTGGGACAATTCAAAAAGCATTTTGCCATTTCCTAGTAGGAGCCACACTGAGGACCCCCTAGCTACTCACGGAGGAACAGCAATTTGTTATCTTTTAATTTTAGCCTAATGTGCAATTTTTTTTGCCCTAGAAATCAGAAGAGGAAGCTAAGACCAGACAACTGTTGACTGAACAGCTGAGTCTTCTGGGTAAGCAGGTTGTTCTTGTGATTTTGAAAATTTGTGTCAACTGTTGTTGAGCTGCTGTACAGGTTTTTGAGTAAGGCCACACAGACTTAATTCTATAATTGATGACATCATCTGAAGACCCCCAAATTAGTGTGCGGGTGAATGAAAAAAATTCCGGCCAAAAATAAAAATATTACTAAACCACAGCTGAAATACAAAGCTGGTATAATATGAATTTGCGACAGAACATAGCGAGGTATACGACAAGCCGGCACATGCTGGCTTTTTGCGGAATTCATGAATGGGCACTGTATGTTCTTGAGTCATGGAGCTTCGGTAGCCTGGGTGCTGTCCTCCAGAGTTATCACCGGCTCTGTGTTGTCTCTAACTACCATGGACTACCCAGGTCTAGAGCCAGGCCAGAACCTCGGAGGACGTGTTTTTTTTTAGAACAGGCAAAAATCAATGCGCCCGGGGATGTCATCCATGAAATTGAGGTGGTGTGTCCTAACAAATGAAAACAAACTTTATCATATTTCACGGTATTTACACAATATATAGCCGTGGCACTGGCAGTGCATGTTTTAGACACATTTTTGTATGATTTTCCCCCTCTGCCCCACAGTGAGTGCAGTAGAAGAGGGTGAACACATGGTGCGTGGAGCGCTGGACAAGTTTGACGACCCTCTACATGCACAGTCCACTTCTACAGCAGGTAAGGCTACATTGTACTGGCTCCCACTTTTTTTTTTGTCTTACAAGTCATTCTGTTTAAGTCTACATAATAAGGCAGAAGGTAACGTTAAATGGTCATATTTGTATATTTAAGGATAAAGTCCCATCTATTGTTTAGAAATGTTTTAGAAAGATATCTGCAATGTGCTTGAATGAAATGTTGACCAAACATTCAAAGAAAGCCATGAAAAACCCCGGTTCTGCACAGTACATTTTTCCGATGTGCTCCTACATGTACCATTCCAAAAAAAGTGGAGGGTCTAATTCAACCTAATGTGACCTGAAAATGTGTACAATTTATTCCATGGGCTTTATGAAGGTTCCTGCCATAATTTTTGTGTGTATGTTTCTCAGAATACCTGATCAGCCGAGCTCAGAGCTTACTTGGATCTCTGGACAGTCTGGGGAGGAACTACAACAGCTTTACACAGAACAAGAAAGGTACGGAGGACACTTCAATTCTATACAGGGCTGTCTCCTAATCACCAGAAAATTTTGATCCCTGCAGTAGTGTTCTAGCCAGCGTACCCCGTTTTTTTGCCATTTGACGGAATTTTACAGCTGATGATAGTCATTAAAGCATCATCTTTAAAGCATCATCTTTCACGGTCAAAAATCAGCATCTAAGATATTAATAGCTTGGTTAAATTAACCATGGTCTTTCAGCAAAATTTTTCCCTCAAAATGCATTTCAGAGGGTCGAGATTTCAAAATTTCCTGGGGGAAAAATGCCCCAGACCCTAGGATTTCTGCGGCTTTGGAGCTCTACAATGATATTAATGTGAATTCAAAGAATATTAAGGTCACAGACAAAATTTTTGGCTAGCTTTAATACTGGAGCATGTACATAAATTTTGTACACAATGTCATATTTTTCTAGTTGTATGAAATAATAACTAGAAGTCATTCCTGTAAAACCATTGCGAGTGGTCGTTGTTAGGAACTAAGATATGCCTGCCTTTGTCACAGTGACCCCTGACCTGGTGAGAACTGTGACTCAGTTTGGCCACCTAGCAGCTGACACCATACTGCAGGGCAAGGCTGCCTCCCACATGGCTCCTCTGGAACAGGGAGAAGGTAAGACTGGATTACTCTTCTCAGCTACGAAAATTGTCGTTTGCAAAAGATAATGATTTTGATTGGGCAAGAAATGCAGATAAAAAACTGGATTTTCAAAGTCAATTTTCTGGGTATTATTTTAATAGCAAGTTAAATCAACTCTATACTAATTTGTGAGGCAAAAATGCAACGTGGCTGATGGAAAAATGTTGTTTGTTTCATATCATTAGTTGTTGTTTATTGGTGGTCACAAAAAAAATTATGGGAATCCTCATGCAGCTTATGTTGGGGCTATTTCAAATGCTTCAAAGTATGAAATAATTACTAATTCAAAATATTCGAAGAACAGTAGGTATTATCTGACAGACTTCCCCATATCAATATTATATTTTTATTTTGCTGCTCTAAAGTTAGCACCATACTCATGTTCTTTGTTTTCTGAAAACCAAATTTTATTCACAATCCCTTCTGTACTAATATCATTACCGCTATCATATGCCACCACTTTGAATTGATTTTATTTGATTTATCAAAATTGCTGCTGTTACAGTGCAATACACGTGGGACACAGGCAGCTGTTGCTGGTGTTGTGTCCCACACATGGAAACAAATACTGGACAGACAATATCATTTTCACTTGAGTTTAGTTTGGAAAGTCGTGTAAAGTGCATTTCCCAAAGGCACAAGATCAGTGGCATGTCAGGACTTGAACCCGGGACCTCTTGGTTCCGAGTTGAGCATGCTGCTGTTGTGCCACACGACCCGATAGTGAACATATTTTATTCCTTGAAATTTTGCCATGAAGATAAAGGAAAGACTTGTTCCTTCACAGATCTTGCTGAGAAGTGTAAGGGTACCGGGGAGAAAAGTCTGGTGCTGCTCGGGTCACTACGCCAACAAGGGTCAGCTGAGGTCACCGGTCAACAAGTTCAAGATGTGAAGGCTTCAATTCAAGATATCATCACTTGTGCTCAGGTATGTAATGACAATGACAATGAACTTTATTGCATATTCACGCCCTACATGGGCCAAATGCACTAAGCTATATTATTAGTCACTGACAGTTAAGGCCCGGTCACACTGGCCGAACTTTGCTGGAGCGTTCCTGTAACAGTAGGGACGGGGGCCGAATTTCGACAATGCTCGTCACCGCTCCGGCACCTCTATACCAACGCCAAACCAAAGTTTATTGCCGACATGGATCGCTGCTTCAACGCCCGACAACGTTCCAGCAACCCCGTGTCCGCTCGTAAAACGCTTGCAACCGCTCCAGCGAAGTTTGTGCAACGTTTAATCACCGCCCGGGCAACGCTGGCGAAGCAGCGGTGGTCCAGCGTTCAAGATTTCTGCATTGGCCTAGCGGACCGAAGCGTCCACGAACTTGCATCTAGCGATGCCAAACTTTGACTTGGCGTTGGTGGGGCTAGGGTGAACTTTGCCGGGGCGGAAAATTGCCCCCTCCTCACCGCTCGCAATATTTTGTGCAGCTCAAAACTTTCGGAGTGGTAGGAGGGCCCCTCCAGAAACATCAGCGGTGGCCGGGCGTACACGGCGTTGCTTTAACGGGGGCCAACGTCTGTTTAACGGTGGTGAGCGGTTTCCAGCGGTGCTGAATTTTATTCACCGTTCAAGGAACGCTACAGCAAAGTTCGCCCAGTGTGACCGGGGCTTAAGATAACTTGCCGTGTTGCCGGGTACAAGTATAGAAAAAACAAGACTTAGTGTACATTTCTGTGCTATGTCTCTATCTACAGGATCTTCTACAGGATCTCTTCTCTCTTTTTGAAACATGCACATTGTGTATGAACAAATTTGCATAGATTTTATTTACGTCATAGTGCTTGGATGTCATAATATGTTTAAACAATAGCTCCAAATGTTACAATAGGAGCCATGAAGTCAACACAAAAGGTTGGGTTGATATTTAAACTGTGAATTTTGAACTTTTAATCAAACCACTGCATTGATAGCTGGAAAGACTGTAACAACAGTTACTATTATAATAGGAACAAAAGGACTTACTTCAACTTTTTGGGGCAAAATATGAGTATATATATATATTTGAGTTGATTTAGAACTTGAATCTTTTTTTTTTTTTGCAAATCAGAAACAAATGAAGAAGTGAATCCGAGAACCAACAAATTAAATTGGTTTGTCCTAATATAATACTTGACTTACTTGACTTATGACTTATGTCGAGTCCTGGTGTCCCTGGCCTCGAGACAAAATGGCTGACCAACACTCCCTATCTTCCATCACTTGACCCAAGTATATATTAAGATTCTGTAATTTCCCAGGACCTGATCCCTAAGATAGCAGACATTAAGAGTGAGCTGGGAGACCTGGTGGAGACAGAGATGTCTGAGACGTCAGAGGCAGTGGACAAGGCTGCAGCTAAGATCGAGGAGATGCTGAACAAGTCTCGACAGGGCAGCTCAGGGGTCAGGCTGGAGGTGAACGAGAAGTAAGTCATTAAGAGAGGCCCTGTTAAATTTTATATAGTGTTTATTATTAATATTAAGCCCCTGTCACACAAAGCAGAAAATGCCGGGCCTACCAAACACTGCTGAAAATGTCCCAAAGTGTCTTTTTAGTTGTCCAGGCCAAAATTTAGTGGTCAGTGGCCATCGGACCACCAGTTTAAACCCTAAATGTCTGAATGTGTGACAGGGGCTTTAATGACATGTGATGTGCATAAAAAGTATTTAGTCATTCATTCCTGAAATCTACACTTTTTTTAATGTCTTTTTTCTGTCCTACATTGTATTCTGTTCTGTTCTATCTCCTTTTTAGCTTCTAAATGTCTCCCTGACTTTACTACACAAATACAGCCCACTGTTACTTATAATTTTGTTAAATTCAAATATTTCATTGCATACAGATTTCATCATTCTGAACATTTCTTGTGCAACATACAATGTACATGCACATGTATAGTGTGTGTAATTGTAGTAAACTATATATTATTAATAACTTCAGGTTTCTGCAGGCTTTATTGTTGTGTATAATTGGCTTTTTGTTTGATGCCAATATGGTATTTGCATGTTAAATTTCAGACACAACACCAAACAATCATTTACATTGACTGTACATCGTGCAAAATGCCAAAATGAAAGAAAATGCAACATATATCTATCTATCTATCTATATATATATATATATATATATGTGTGTGTGAAAAAAATATCTGTGGGCTGTACTATTTTCTTTATACATCTATCTTGCCATAACTTGTTCTGTTTCCTGCCCTGTTTCCTTCTGTTCTGTTGTCTATGTAGCACCCATCTCTCCCCACACCAGTCTTTAGTAAGGGTCACATCTACCCAGTGAGTAGTGCTGACTTTACAGCAAACACCAGATTTGGAATGAAGTGTCTAACCTACATGTATTAATCAATTTGTCAACTGAGTCAACTCTCAACAACAAAGTTGCCTTGTTAGTTATGGAATTTGTTCAACCCTTTTCAATATGCAATAACAGTTGCAAAGTTGTATCTGCTTGTTTTTTTATACTAAGTCTGCTAAAAGATAATTATTATAGCATGAATTGATAGTCAACATTGCATCCTGTGTGTTGCATAATAATTATTAGCATGTCTCCATGCAGAACGTACATGACTTTAAAATTGTACATGTATCACACTGACTGTGCATATACTAATGTTGCATCTGCATAGACACAGATACATGTACATGGGGATAAAACAGAAATACTATTATAATAGTATTTCTGTTTTATCCCCATGTACATGTATCTGTGTCTATGCAGATGCAACATTAGTATATGCACAGTCAGTGTGATACATGTACAATTTTAAAGTCATGTACGTTCTGCATGGAGACATGCTAATAATTGTTCTTAAAATTATGGATTGTTTTTTGCCTTGTCAGCTGAGTCACATTTAGTACATATCAGATTCATTTGGTAAATTTTTGTTTTAGTTCATTGGTATAATTTTGTGTAAATGTAAATCTAATTTCTGACACACAGAATATCAGTATCTGGACCTGAAATCTTATGTTGTTTCTATGTTTTTGTAGAATCCTGGACTCCTGTACAGAGCTGATGAAAGCCATCAAACAGCTCATCATCAAGTCTAAGGACCTACAGAATGACATAGTGGCACAGGGCAGGGTGAGTCCACTACTCCTACCTCTGAACAGTGTCAGTGTTACGTTCTAGGCATGCCTCCGTCTATCCGTCATTTGATGGATTTTTTGGGGGGGCTTTCTAGTCAAAAACTTTTAATTCATCTATGGACAAAATTCAGTGTAAGAAGATGTACGTCTTACAAATAGAAAATAGCAGCATCAGTACCTTGAAATTTTAACTAGCCCTCCATTTTCAGGGTTGGACAAGTTTTCAAAAATCCACTGTCTTGCCCTACATTTCCACTTGCCCGAACCAACTTTTCACTTGCCCAAAATATACATTTTAATTTTTTTCACTGCATTTTACTACCGCCAAGGAAATTATCTTATTTTGGAGTTTATAATGTTGGATTCTTTATTTATCGGATTAAGGATGGTGGTTTGACTTGCTCCAAACACCGTAGCGGTTATACTTTGCATCCAAAAAATTTACTTGCCCAATCGGGTAAATCTACATTGTAGGGGCACATACACTTTCCCGAACAGTACTTTTACTTGCCCTGCATGGGCAAGTGGGCAATTGGACTTGTCCAACCCTGATTTTTAATCCAATTATTGAATGCATGAATAAGTGAAGCAAAATACCATAATTGCATGTTGTAATGTTGAACTAGTGTGTACTACAAGAACTGGGGAGACTGGCCTACAATTATTGCCACACTAACTGACTAAGCAACTAATTTTACATTTTCCATAAATCTACAACCATCAGACAAGGTTGTGGGACAGCCTGGGACAGCTGTTTGAGGTACTGAGTGCACAGTACGGTAGTCACACTAGACAGCACAAAGTTGGCTGTGCACAGCTGTACAGAGGACAGCACTGTTCTGTAGTTTGTAGTCAAAAATGCTGACAGAATGGACAGGAATAGGAGGTATTACATTGAGACGTAATAAATGCATGATAGTTTTAATGTGCAGACTCAGTAACATGTAACACCAAGCATGGCTTTTCAGCTATTAATGAATGCAATGCTTGCCACACTGGCATGGCTACAGAAAACAAATCCACCAACTGGTCTTTTCACCATGAATTCTACTTAAAATTAGTGCCCAGGAGTTTTACATGTAACCAACATACACCCTACAGGGTACAGCTACAGCCCAGGAGTTTTACATGTAACCTACATTTTGTACATACACCCTACAGGGTACAGCTACAGCCCAGGAGTTTTACATGTAGCCTACATACACCCTACAGGGTACAGCTACAGCCCAGGAGTTTTACATGTTACCTACATACACCCTACAGGGTACAGCTACAGCCCAGGAGTTTTACAACCGAAACCCTCGCTGGACAGAGGGACTGGTGTCTGCAGCCAAGACTGTCGGCTGGGGTGCAACTGTGCTCACGTCAGTATCAACTTTGTTTGAACTAGGTCCTAATATATACTGTAACATAGAGAACATTTACAGTGTTTTTTTCACCAATCACATTCAATATGTTTAATGCACTAGTAGATTAAAGTGCCTAATATGAAAAGGCCATTGGACACTAGACATGATAGAGGCATTTCTGAACAAAGACAAGACATAAAGACATGAAGACGTTTACTGAAAAATGACATTAATTTGCTAACTGGAAAATGTATATCCATTCTGTCTTCACATGTCAGGTATAGCAACTCCCCTATAAATTGTAGGAGACAAATTATTTTCACAGTAGAATACAATAATTAGTAGGATTGACTTACTTTAAAATTACATTTGTACCAGAGTAGTGAGTAGTAATGGTACATTCAAAAACTGACCAGACAGTTGACTTTGATGAATCCAGTTTTACTGCCCTGATATTGATGTAGGTGCCTTTGAATTGGTTATAAATTGTACCAACAAATAATGTGGCTTTCTTCCCAACCAAAAATGTGTCAATCATTGCTTGCTGCCATGACTCCTCAGGGATGCAGCAGACAAGGTGATCCAGGGAACAGGCAAGTTTGAGGAGCTGGTCGTCTGTTCTCATGAGATAGCTGCAAGCTCTGCACAACTGGTAGCAGCATCAAAGGTACGACTGTGTAATATACACTTTACAGGGCCAAGACATTTCCTGTATCCATAGCACAGGGCCTTTTCACATCCTGTATCCATAGCACAGGGCCTTGTCACATCCTCTATTCAATTCAGAATAATGGTAAAGTACTGGACCTTGACATAGTCCTGTATCCTTTGTCTACTGAGTCTACTAGGCACTTTTCATATGCTGGATCAATGTGTAGGGTAGTTAATGATGTAACGAGCACAAATCCACCAGTGCTAAGAAAAGTGGCAAAAATGAAGATTCTGAAGTATACCTGTCATGTACATGTAACTTGACAAGTAAATGTCCATCATTCTGTTGTGATACTGATAATTGTCACCAACAGTAATAATTTAATTATCATAACCATGGTAAATGAGTTTTTCCAGGGGTGGCATTTTGTGGTAAAGGTTGGAAAGAAAGTTCTCACAGTGTTTTAAGATTAAAACAGAACTACATGTACATGTAGAGCAGAAAAATATGATTTCATGGTTGAGAGGCACCCCAAAAATAAATATTTCAAGATTTACAATACATTAAACTTGTATTTTGCAGGTCAAAGCTGAGAAGAACAGTGCCACACTGAAGGAGCTGCGGGCAGCTTCCAAGGGTGTGGCCAACGCCACGGCCAACGTTGTAGCAACAACCAAGTCTGGTCAGGCTCAGATTGAGGAGAGTGGTATGTAGTAAATGAAGACTTTATGATTCTATAATTCTTAAGTTCCTTACTTTAGACTAAGGGCTAGTAATGCAAATTTGAATTGAGTCTCAATTATTGTGGGAGTTGGAAGATTGTCAGTAGTATACGGTGCAAGACACAACTCTTCTACTTCAGGAGAAAAAGAGAATTCAGGTCTTTGTGAGGAATTTGTGAAGCAACATTGGACTTACCCAAATTTTTGACTGAGTGTACAACTCCAGTCTTTGTTGAGGAATAAAAATCCATTTCTGTAACATCACTTAATTAATGACACACATGACTCAGTGAACAGTGGATCATGGGTTGAAGAAAGTCTGTGGCGCCCCCCGTCTTTATTGAGGAATGGCTGCAATTCCCTGATGAGATGTTTTTTTTTTACATTATTTTGTACCTTTTGCAAATCTAGTCTAGCTCCGTGTCCAAGATTTTTACTCTGACCATTGCTCTGTCCAATGTAAATCAATGAGACTGAATGTTCGTGCAATTCTGTGTATTTTTAAACTTCCAAAGTTGTTAAGCTACTATTATAGTAGACCTTTTGTGTTCTTGGAGCCTACTTTGAGTGATCTTCATGAGGAATCATTAACATAACTTTGATATTATTTAGTGCTACTATTTTTTATTATATCATAATATTATGAAATTAATTTAAAAATTTGATTATATAATTTTATAAGGCCACACCAATTAAATTTCTTGGTTAACGGATTCGCCCGCTTCATTTTTTTCTGATTTGCAAATAAAAATAAAAATTCAAAATAAACTGCAAAATGTTCATATTTTTCCCTGAACAGTTTAAAACAGTCATTTGCACCCTAGTTGTTACAGTTATTCCATCTTTCAATGCAATGGTATCATTAAAAGTTCAAAATTCATTGTTTAAATTTTGAACCAGCCTGGTATGTGGACTTCATGGCTCCTATCATGCCATTTTGGGCCATAATACGATGCCTAGGCCTGTTTTTATTTTTATTTTTTTATCGCCCGTCCGCTCCATTATTTTTGTAGAAAAATCCGTTAACCAAGAAGTTAAATTGGTGTGGCCTAAGTGTCTTTTGTATTTATACGTTATTTTATTTGTGTATTGTTTTCCAACATTGATGTGAAAAATGTGGCAAATTGTACATAGTTCAGGGGGATGCACTTCTGCTCCCTCCTGCTGTACATTTGTGAAGGAATGAGCAAATAAACATTGATAATTTTGCATTTTCCTTGTCAGACACCATGGACTTCTCTGCCATGTCCCTGACGACCATCAAGCGACTGGAGATGGACTCCCAGGTCCACGTGCTGGAGTTAGAGAGCTCGCTCACCAAGGAGAGACAGAAACTCTCCGACCTGCGCAAGAAACACTACCAGCTGGCTGGGGTGAGCGAGGGGTGGGACGAGGAGGTAAGGAATAAGGAATCATCATGAAAGTTCATCTGTGCAATATCTCAATGGACCTATACCATTATTACGTCACAGTTTGTTTACCTGTTCTAAAGATTCTAGAATGGTCAGTTAAAGAATAAAGATCATTTCAAAGTTTTCAAAGTAAGGTATGTCTGATTTTTGCTGCATCTAGTTGTGTTGACACAGCATTATTATTGCCGCATGGGTGATTTAGTTGTGACATTAGACAAAAGTAGTACTGTATTAAAAGCCTTATATTAGGCTAACGCCACACAAACACACACCGCGCTACGCACCCCTGTACAATATAAACGTTGATTGACCGGCATTCATTGTGGTAAACAAACTGTGATGTTATACACATACAGGTCCATTGGTAGAGTGCTTGCTTTGTAACCGGGAGGTCGTGAGTTCAAACCCTGGCCAGGTCATACCAAAGACTTTAAAAATGGTACACACTTCTTTCTCTGCTTAGCACTCAGCACATATGAGAAAGAGTGTGGGAAGGTCAAACACACAGCACTACCAGTGGACTAGCCCCCTGCTGTAGTGCCCTGCACAACTGTGTGTCGTCCAAGGGCTACGGAAATGGAGATGGGCACCACCCATATGATCTGCATAGAATGGAATGGGACCTTTTTTTCATCTGTGTTGGTAGTTACATGTTTAAAGTTAAAACTTTTGATCCAACACATAAAGTTCTCTCACCTAGAGCTTTCGACCAGTGACTCTGGTCTTTCCTCTGTAGACTGACCCAGTGAAGCTTGTCACATGGCCTCACTGGGTCAGTCTACAGAGGAAGACCAGAGTCACTGGTCGAAAGCTCTAACATCCAATCCAATTTCAGGGCAACAAAACAGAAATATTCTGGATTTTTGATATTGATGATTACTGTCATGTCTAAGCACGTTTTTAGCATCATTTAATGCTTGAAGCATTTAGAATAGCCAAAAAAACAAGCTACGTTATGGGGCCCCTTTATTTTTCGGTGCCACCAATATATAGCTACATTTTGTACATGTAGAATCACTGTGGCCTACAATATGAAACAAACAGTCAGGTTTTCTATCAACGACATTGCATTTTTGCCTCACAGACATCAGTATGCTCTAGGATACAGATGTAGATCTAGAGTTGATTCAACCCAAAGAAATGCCCAGAAAATTGACATAAGTTTTGAAAATCCAGTTTTACTGCCCTGAAAATGCATTGGGTGACTTTAATTTCACAGGGATATTTTTTTTCAGGTTCATATTTAATTTTCTAAATACAATCCTGTATGGACCAGGCATTTCTTCTCTTTCCTCCTATTGTTCTGCTACTGCCTGTTCTGTGCTCTGTTAAGTTTGAATCTGCTATTCAGCATATTTGAAATGTTTTATGCTTTAGCTGTAGCCTAGAGCTTCCAGTCTATGCTTTTGTGCACTTGACTTACAAGTGTAGCTCCAAATGTTGTACTTCAAGCCCCCCCTGTCACACATACCAAATATGGCCACCCAAACACTGCTGAACTCGCCCGACCAATAATGGTTAGGAGTAGGTCAGGAGCAAGGTCTGCTGTGGTTGGTTGCTGTTTTGTCAGTTCTGCTAGTTGACTGTTTGTTGATTCAAACATTTGGGTGTGGACAGGAGATTTGGCCATGTTCGGCTGGTGTTCGGCAGTACTACAGGAGTAGTACATGTAGGTCAGTTGTGATGGGGGCATGTTCTGGGGTCAAATTTGACTCAAATTTAACTCATACGATTTCCTAAATTTGGTCAGACTGCTTCCAAACTTCAGCTATCCTGGATTAGCAGGTGATTTCGGGGAAAACTCTGAATGTGTGACAGGGGCTTTGATAGTACTGCTACTGTAACAGTTGCACTCAATTATTATAATTAATAATGCTTTTGATTTGTTGTTTGCTGATATCATATCACACTTCTGCTGTAAGATGACAGTTGCATTCTCCTCTTTCCTTGTCTCTGTGTGTTGGAAACAAAACCAGGACATTCTGAATTGTGATGTCAAGAGACAGGATACACGTCAGGTACTCATGCCACTTTCTTATGCCTTCTTCTTGTCTTTTGATCTGACCAAATTCTATGCCCTGCTGTTCCTATACTGTACCTACTGTACACCATTTGCCGTACTATCATTTTATTCCTCATGCCATATCCTGCTGTTCCCTGCATATGTGCTGTTATTCCTTATGTACAATGTAGTGTCTAACACTATACAGTCATGTACATTAGAAAATTAACCCATTGTTCTCTTACTATATGTACAGTAACACCCTGGTTTGTACAATACAGAATCTGAATAAACTTCTCTTCCAACATGTTTTACATGTAATAAAATTGTATAGTCATTTTTATTAATATTTTTTTAATATTTTTAAATATTTTTTGTAAATAAATAAATATTTCAGAGAAATTAAAAATTCTGAGGCAATGCTAAAATAGCTGTGGTATGGATTAGTTATGAAATTTTACATTGAAAAAATTGAATTTAAATAATTTTGATTCTATAAAAGTCTATGAGCTGTGTATACATGTATCAGCAAGTGGTTATTCTTTCTATTTGTGGCCAAAACATATCCATTGACAGATTTTTAAGTTATCATAATCATTAGAACTGACGAGAATCTGTGGATGGCTCTGTATTATTTTTTTTATTTTTTTTTATTTTGGTATGTGGGAACCATACTTACAGTCTTGTGTTTCTGAGGTGTTGAAAGAACACCTTTCTTGTACTCAGTCTGGTAAACTTACATTGTTTAGTAGTTGGAATGAGTTTTGATGAGTGTACATGTACAATGTATGACATTGTGTTAATGTTAACTCCAGGAGGATGCTGACTAGAGGTACCAGTCCATGTTGTTGCTCTGCTGCCCAAGCCTGCTGGTCTGAGGTCCAGCCTCCGGAGAAAAAAACGGATGTCTTTTCAGAACATTGTGTATGATAGTCATTTACATCTACTGTAGTACATGTACAGTAGATCCCAGCAAGTCTGCCATCTGAATTTTCTCCACCTAGACTCATTCGTACCCAGAAAACTCTACCTAGACTGAGGCTGACATCTGTCCATGGTTTGTCTGTACATGCATCAACCCAGCACGTCAGCAGAACATCTTTAATGAAGCAAGTTTAAACTGTAATTTCCAACACAACAAATTGGACTCACCCAAATTTTCGACTGTACAACTCCATTCTTTGTCAAGGAATGAGCAATCCACCGCTTCCGTGACGTCACGCAGATAACACCCGTGACTCTGTGAGCAGTGGATCATAGGTTGCAGAAAGTCTGTGGCGCCCCCAGTCTCTGATGATTTCTACCAACACAGATGAAGCAGAATATCTTGTTTAAGGTCGTATTCATGTATTCAAAGGATGGCATCCCGTCTACAGTTTTGTTAGAAAGGATATTGTCTGCAACGGGAAAAATTCTGAGACAACGTTGACCAAACATCCAACAAAAACTGTGCAGACACAGTTACCGTACATTCTGCCAAAGAACATGACTGTTTAGTTGTAATTGTGCAAACCCAAAGCTCTGTCCAAGCTTTGTGGAAACCCCTTGAGAGCCTAACCCAAAATAAGTTCTGTGAATCAGGTTATGAAAAATTGCCTGGTATTACAAAAATTAGGCTGATCTACCAGAACAAAAAATACATGTGTAATTCATAGAGCTTAGTCTTAAAATCAGCTGCCTGAAACTGTAGTCACTCCAAATTCGCTCTGGTAGCAACAGATCATGTACGGTGAGCAAACGATAGTCCCAGCTATTCGTACATTAACAGTGCAGAATGTATGGATTGTCAGTAGTATACGGTGTAAGATACAACTCTTTTACTTCAGGAGGATTGTTCTTTGGGAGGAATTTGTGAAGCAATTGGACTTACCCAAATTTTTGAGTGAGTGTACAACTCCAAAGTTTCTCCAAATTCGCTTCTGGTATGAACAGATCATTGTACAGTGAGCAAACAATAGTCCCAGCTATGCGTACAGTGCAGAATATCATAACGGTGTACCAGAAAGCTGACATAGAATGTACCAAACTGAGTGTGTGTATGTATATGACAGGGCAGTCTAGGCAGAATCTATAGGATTATTCAAAGTACATTTGTATTGAATATGGGGCCAAGGTAAAGCAGGGGTGCAGGTTATTGTAGATAGAACTGCTTTATAGTAGGTGGCCAAGAGCCTCTTTTCTCAACTTCCAGCTCAAGTGTACAAAAACTCTGCATATTGAAAAAAATGACCAGCAAGCAGTCCAGCAATGTTTAGTATCTATGTACATGTATCAAGTACTGCCACAGTAGCGAGTCTGGGAAATCAGGAAGTTTCAGTCTCAAATAGAATTAAAGGCATCCAAATTGATTTCAGGGTGGTAAAACTGGAAGAATTTTCTGTACCATTCTTATTAATGTAGTACATGTACAAGTTGAATCAACCCATAGCATAGTATACTGATATCTCTAACAGAAAACATTTTTGTATTGTAGGCTGGTTCTATCTATTTATTGGTCACCGTGGTACCAAAAAATTAAAATAACTCTTCTCGAGTTTTGTGGCTATTTCAAATGCTTCAAGACAAGGATTAAATCACCATGTCTTGATTGACAAAAGTCTGCTATCAAAATGTCCCAGAATGTTCTATTACCCGGAAATTACACTGGATGCCTTTATAAACAGCCTGTGCATTGTACATTGATAACTTCCCAGGAGACTCTACTGTAAGAGATGTATGACATAGTGTGCAGTAGGTCTGCAAATACATGTATACTGCAGCTGTAAGTACAGGTAATTAATTGTAGCATGTCTGAAGATTGGTGTGAACGTTACAGGGCAATGGTGAGATATGAATTGCTACTATTTAGGTGAGCTACTATATAGTTAGTCATAGATTTTAAAGGAAAAATACATACATGTATGTATGGTCAGGGAATTTGTCGGGAAGTAAGAAATGGTTGTATAGCAATGATATGATACTGTTAAGAGAGCACCTAGGCTAGAATACTGTACTCTACATTGTATGCTGATGATTGTATGCAATACATGTGTTAATGTAGGGGTGTGCTTCCATTGTTTTTCTCTTCAAAACGTAGAAAAAAGTGAACGATACAGCGCTAGCTACATATACAGCTCAATTTTCTTTGCCCAAATCATGTTTTGCCAAATATTCTACCCTTTCAACCAGCAAAAGTTCAAAATACCGCACTCTTGGTATGCAAGTCTTGGTTTGTCTGTGAGTATATTAGAGATGCTAAATTGCCCAGTGCAAAAGTTACAGTCTCTTCTGAAATATACTGTGTCCTGTTTCGGCCAGCACAACAGATGGCCTGGCTTATGTATTACACGATGTACCTTCTAAACTAAGGCCACACCAATTTAATTTGTTGGTTCTCGGATTCGCCTCTTCATTTTTTTTTATTCGCAAAAAAGAAAAAAAGATTCTGGTCCTGAATCAACTAAAAAATGCTCATATTTTCCCCCAAACAGTTGAGGAAATTCCTTTTCTTCCTACATGTAGTTGTTACTAAAGTCTTTCCATCTATCAATGCAGTGGTGTGATTAGAAGTTCAAAATTCATTGTTGAGATATTAACCCAGCCTTTTGTGTTGACTTCATGGCTCCTATCGTAGCATTTAAGGCTATAATAGGATGCCTGGACCTGTTTATATATTTTTTCGCCATCGCTTCATATTTTCTCTCAGAAAAATCTGAGAACCAACAAATTAAATTGGTGTGGCCTAAACAGTGTCAACAACAACCTGAAATATCGATAGGCAACCTACATTTGTACATGTAGCTTGGTTGCCTAGTGGGCAGCCTGAGAAAAAAAGTATTCAGAACCCTGCCAGCTTTGAAAATTTCTAGTGTCAAGATTGAATGTGTAATATCTAGTTGTATGCCTATGTGTATGATTTGAGTTTGTTTTCATACTAGTGAAAAAAAAATGTGTAATATTATTCCTTCACTTCATTATTTCCAAACTTGTGATCTATTATTATTTATTTTCCAATTTCTGGACATATATACATTGTAATATTCTTCTTAGTTAGATTTTTCTATGACTGTTTATTTTGAACACTATACTTTGTTTCATATATTTGGGACATGAAAGACTGTTGGTTGCAGTTGGGCATTGTACTACAAACAACACTGTAACATGTCTGTGTGTATGAATTAGTGTCTGGTGTCATTTCTTCACTTTCTCCAGCTCACATTGTTAAATGTGTGTTATTGTAGAACCAGATCGATCAAGACGTTTAAATCAAAGTCATTATTTTTGTCATTTTCTTTTACATCCTATTTGAATCTAGTGCGTTAATACACCGCACAGCAGTATTCTACTCAGTTTTGCAGACTTGATGTACAGTCAAACCCGTCCAAGCTGGCCACCCAGGGGACCAAAGAAAAGTGGCCACCTTGGACAGGTGGTCTCCTTGAGGGTCGCCTCACAACATGACTGAGGCATAAATGGTTTTCAAGTCGAGATGTTTTAATGTCAAGTGCTGCAAGCATCTTCAGTTCTGTGGTGAATGCATCTGGGGAGAGTGGCACATGGAAGAATTTACGTCAAGCAAAAACATCATCCAGCAGTCAAGGCAAACTGGCTGGTTTCTCCATGATTTCTCATTAGTTATCATCAATAATCAACATGATCGAAAATGATGTGGTCACTATGGTGGCAGGAGCAGAGCAGACCATGAAATTGCAACATTTGTAACCCAACACCAGTCACCATGGTGACAGACGTCAACAAATCATGTCATTGGTCAGGTCAGAGGTTAGTGTTTGGAACAGAAGAGGAGAAAGAAACTGAGTAAAAACAATATATGTTTTCCTTCGGTAAACATAATAACCCTGACAACAGACAGTCATCAAAACGTTAAAATATTCACAAAGAACTTTGCAATTCAATTATTCACCAACTTGATAAAAGTATTCGCAGATCCATCAATTTAACATCAATTTTACAGTAGAATTCAAAACTACGATGTATTTTATCATCCAGGCTACTCGGACTGTAAAAAAAACAAGAAGCCATAGGTGACAATTCTCCGTGAAGTATTATATATTGCAACAAAAAGAAGTAGCCATTGGCGACAATTCTCTGTTAAGTGTGATAAATCGAACAAAGAAAAATTGTTTAAACGCGCGTCGGCTCAGTCATCTTAAGACGCAACAACCAATCAGAGATGCGAAATGCCGACACGTGACGCGGGATTTGCATACAGTCTAAACAACGGGGAAGGGCGCGCGATGCCCGAAATATTTTTGCGTCAATATTCAGCGCCGTGTTTCCAGAGATTAATACCGGCAAACAAATTCTTTTCTTGTTTTGAACGCATAAACATGCATTTACGCTAATCTAGTATGATTCAGGGTTACTTTTTTTTTTACCTGCCATGGCCAGATTATCTAAAGATGTGTGTATTGTGTGTACAATCTACAGAAAGAGAAATGTACATCAGGTCCGATCATCCGATTTTCACGTTTCGGTTTTTTGGACTCGGTTCATGAACGTATTTTGGTTTGGCTCCTGGAATGTGCGAAAAAAATGACTCCCGGGACTGTCTACAGGGAACACTCGCACATTCGCGGTGTATGCGCACAGCGCGACTGGTCGGCATCACAGTGGGTCGGCATTAGCGCAGTCCCTGTAATTAGTAACAGTTGCACATCAATCCGGCCGAAAGCATGATTGTGTAACACAGGCTACTTCTTCATATACCGGCTCATACTACACGACGCCTTTACAACTAGCAAATCATAAAATTACCCGATCTACTAGTACTGTATGTGCGGTTTACCAGCCCCAGACCATATCCGACCACGAGGCAGAACACATTGATGGGTTGCTCAAAAATATTGTCCATGTTTACAAAGAGCTGCTCCACTAACACTATGGAGCGGCCCAACCCAAAAATATTGGCCATGTGTCGTTGCTAGGACGACCGGCCAGTTGCTACGTGACTAAATACACGCCGCCACTAGGTCGCCACACCCGACCAGTTTGAAATCGATAGGATTACGTCATCGGTATTAACATTTCCTAATGTTGACCTCTGACCACCCCACATTTCCGCCCCATCAGCCCCGCCGCGACTTACTACCGGTGACATAAACGGACGACAACATTTCAACGACATGGGGATGTTTCGAAAATAACCATTTACTCCAATATCAAAACAGCTACGGTAAAAATAAAAAGACGTGCATCATCCCGGACATAATGCCACACCAC